CCAAAATTGCAGCCAGACCATAAGCCATGTGTCCGCAGGCCTGTGTGTTGCAAGTCACAGTAGCATGACTGTGTTGTCCTTAAGTTGCGAAAGCTGCAATGATGGATGCGCCGTTGGCTACTGAAGCAACAGCTCTGACTGCTGCCCCGTCATCTGGCGGAGCGCTGCTCGCTGAACCTGGTCACACGCAGCCTGCACGAGAATTTTCAGCGGCGAAGGAAGGGACAGAGAGACGTCACCAGTGGAGGACCAGGGAGCGGAGACCTCCCAGTCCTGCGAGTGTCCCCCTTCCAGAGACGCCAGCAATAAAGATCAGGGAGCGGAGACCTCCCGGTCCTGCGAGTGTCCCCCTTCCAGAGACGCCAGCAATAAAGATCAGGGAGCGGAGACCTTCCGGCCCTGCGAGTGTCCCCCTTCCAGAGACGTCACCTGTGGAGGACCAGGGAGCGGAGACCTCCCGGTCCTGCGAGTGTCCCCCTTCCAGAGACGTCACCTGTGGAGGACCAGGGAGCGGAGACCTCCCGGTCCTGCGAGTGTCCCCCTTCCAGAGACGTCTGTGGCGATTGTGGTGTTTTTGGTAGTTTGACCCTCGAATCATCGGCCCCTTCAGAGCAAGAGGTAGTCGCCTCCGCACACCATCGGCTGGCTCGCAAGCATTAAACTCTGGCTACGTTCATGACGAGGTATCAAAGTCGGCACCACCGGGATCGAGAATCCACATCACCGGGATCGGTAATCGACATCATCGGGATCGGGACTCGATATCACCGGGATCGGGACTCCACATCATCGGGATCGGGACTCGATATTACCGGGATCGGGACTCCACATTATCGGGATCGGGACTCCACATCACCGGGATCGGGACTCCACATCACCGGGATCGGGACTCGATATCACCGGGATCGGCACTCCACATCATCGGGATCGGGACTCGATATCACCGGGATCGGGACTCCACATCATCGGGATCGGGACTCGATATTACCGGGATCGGGACTCCACATTATCGGGATCGGGACTCCACATCACCGGGATCGGCACTCCACATCATCGGGATCGGGACTCGATATCACCGGGATCGGCACTCCACATCATCGGGATCGGGACTCGATATTACCGGGATCGGGACTCCACATCATCGGGATCGGGACTCCACATCACCGCGATCGGGACTCCACATCATCGGGATCGGGACTCCACATCACCGGGATCAGGACTCGATATCACCGGGATCGGGACTCGATATCACCGGGATCGGGACTCGACATCATCGGGATCGGGACTCCACATCACCGGGATCGGGACTTGATATCACCGGGATCGGGACTCGATATCATCGGGATCGGGACTCGACATCATCGGGATCGGGACTCCACATCACCGGGATCGGGACATTACCGTAATCGGGGGACGGAACAATCAGGAGAAAAGCCTCTTATCTTTGGCGTGGACCTTTGGCTTCAAAACATGACATCAGAAACGGAACACTCCAGCAGTTGCGCCCTGCTTGACCTCCTGACCTGCACCACATGGAAACATACCACAAATGCAGTGCACCGTTGAGTGGTGTGCTCTCCGCGTGCCGGGACACGTGCAGCGGAAGCGTTCGGCGGGCGAAGCAGAGCTTCCCAACCTCGACACAAACCTGATCCCCGTGACAGCCTTGGTCCACGTCCCCCTCCCCTCGCAGGTCCTCGCCAGATCAAGTCCAAGGTGTCGCCGCGCACTATCGACGGTTGGACTCGATTACTGTTGCGTTATGTGCCATTTGTTTGCCCGTCCCGTCCTGGTTTCGGAAGAGTGTAATCTGCAGGTATTCGTTCTTGCTCATGCATGAAATTCATGCATTTCACATCGGTGACTGTCTGCATTGATGGCTTTGTCCAGGACGGACATTACCATTGGGACTTGATGACGCGCCCAGCTGCTGAGGCTACGTGGCATCATCTGCCTCTCACCCTGGCAGGAAGGGAGGGCAGGCACAACGGAGAATCGAACCCCATACCCCTGGTTTCTCAAACGCGCAGCGATTGACGCCCTCCAAGACGGACCACTGAGCTCTCCGCTCCATTGCTCGCCGTCAGCGCGCCGGTCAGCAGCTGATGACGTCACAGTCGGCGTGGCGCCCGAGGGCCCGTGGAAAGGGCGCCCTCGCCGGCGGGCGGGCGGACCTGCGGTTCCGCTCGGCTGCCCAGCAGTGGCTGCTCGGCCGGCGCCGCCAGCGGTCGGACTGGCTCGCCGGCAAGTGAGGGGTACTCATGCGTGATGCAAGACGGCCTGGTCCTCCGATAGGTAAGATTTAGGACCAGCTGTGAGGCCAAGGGCCAGTCAGGAACAAGCCCGGGGTAGGGGATGTCAACATGTAGAAAGGTGTGAAACTATTCTCGGAACTGTGCACCTCATGCGACGGAGAATACTGAAATATCTCCTTTTTGTGCTCACAGTCCAACGTCCGGAAATAGGCCACGCACCTACCATGCATTGTTGTGATATGGCCGGTTAGCGTGTAGATTCCGAAATCGTCAGAGGCATACGCATGATTGGAAACACCCATATACCTGAGAGGGCTCAAGCCCCCACCTGATCGCAGCCATCCTACACCTCATGGTCGGGCACATAAGCGTCGAGTAGAAAGAACCGACTCGAAAGCACGGCATGGCCGTAATCACTGAAGAACATCCACCTCTGGCCAAAGATAACATCATGTGGCAATACTAATGAAACCACGCCGTGGCAGCTTCCATACGCTGCTTCCCATTAAACACCCCGGGACCCGGTACACAACACCATTATGCAATCACAGCAGCGTGCACTGGGGATGAAAGCTTTCGCCGCTCCATTGCTAGGCTTCCCGGGTTTGGCTGTGTGGAAGACGACAGACACGGGCGGTTGGCGTCTTCCAGTCCCAGAGTCACCGGAGACGTGAGGAAGGTGTCTATACTACCGCGGCCTCAGGGAAGCTAGGAAGTCTTTGGCACTAGCCAGTGCTGCTGTGGATGCAGCTGCAGTCTGCACGGGTTGGGCTGCAGGGGAAGACATCTGCCGTCTACACGTGAACAGGCTGCAGGGGAAGACATCTGCTGTCTGCACCTGACTAAGCTTCAGGGGAAAACATTTGCCGTCTGTACATAACTAGGCTGCAGGGAGAGACAGCTAACGTCTGCACGTGACTAGGCTACAGGGGAGGCATCTGCCGTCTACACGTGACTAGGCTGCAGGGGAAGGCATCTGCCGTCTACAGGTGACTAGGCTGCAGGGGAAGACATCTGCCGTTTAAACGTGACTAGGCTGCAGGGAAAGACATCTGCCGTCTACACGTGACTAGGCTGCAGGGGAAGGCATCTGCCGTCTACACGTGACTAGGCTGCAGGGGAAGGCATCTGCCGTCTACACGTGACTAGGCCGCAGGAGAAGACATCTGCTGTCTACACGTGACTAGGCTGCAGGGGAGGCATCTGCCGTCTACACGTGACTAGGCCGCAGGAGAAGGCATCTGCCGTCTACACGTGACTAGGCTGCAGGGGAAGACAGCCGTCTTGAAGTCCGCTGCAACATCCACAAGATTTTGAAACACCCGTAGCCTATTTAACGGCAGGCTGTTTGGAAGCGAGTCAAACAAAACCAGAGTGAAATTTAACGCTCTTTGTCGGTTTGTTCCACATCACTTGCTATGCATTCAAATCACAGAAGGATTGGTTGGCTGCAACCGTTTTTTAATTCATCTTCCCGGCGAGCGGCAGCTGGGACGCCGGCGTGCCTCATCACGAGTCTACGCCGGGCATCCCAGAGCGATACAGAACTGGACCAGCACGCGATTGTCTCGCATGGCCTCCTGCAGTCAACGCCGACAGACGCACTTTCCCCTCCGGGTCTCCTCACCGGAGAGAGAGCCACATTCCAGGCCGATTGCATGGAACGTGGACGTATGATGGCACGATAAGTGTTACATGCCATATGGTCAATGCACCGACCACGATAGCAGCGTGAAGACTGCATCGTGGATACGAGCTTCTTAATGTATGTGGTTTTGTTCCTGCGTTGTGCCTGCGAGTGACATGGGTGCCGTCTCCTGCCCAACGCGGCGGGGCAGAACAGCTGACCGCTGCGGCTGTGTTCAGGCAAGTAACGCCGAAAGCACAGTGCATGACTGGCTTGGCAGTTGGAGAACTTAGTGTACCAATATTGAACCAAGTGATATTACCTCAGATTTTGCGTACGGAAAACCTAAACAGCAATCAGAGCTGTGGATGACTTCGGTGTATTGACTCAGCTCTGGCTCCGGATCCGAGCTTGTGGTAATTGGTCTGGCGATCAGCGCGTGACAATTTCGTGAATATCGCGGTTTTGCGTGACATTCTAAAAACGCATGCAGCAATTTCAGCTGCATTTGCTACAGACTGTCGTAGCGAGTGTGGTAGCCTAAAACCTTTATACATAATAAACGCAAGTTTTACATTTGTCGCATTTTTGAAGTGCTTGCATCGCTTTTTTGTTTTGAACGGGATGTGTTCTTGATTCCGCGGTGCCTGACGTGCCCCGAGATCACTGACCCCCCCGAGATCATTGACCTCCGACCCGAGGCATGCCAACAGCTGAGCCCACGCGGAGACCACGCCCACTCGGCCAAACCCTGACGCCAGGTTCGGCGCGAGGCGCCGTAGATGGTCGCGTTCCGCCCGGCGGGCGCCGATAATGCACGGGGGACGTCCAGGAGTGGACACCGGAGAAAGTCCCCCGTCCCAGAATAGCCGCCGCCGTTGCTCACAGGGGATGATGATGCCGTCTTATGCCCGAGTGGTTCTGCAGCGCACCGCGGTGAGCGATGGGACGTCTGTGAGCTGCTGGCGCCGATAACGCTGCAGTAACGCTGGGCTCGTCATTGCGCTTCTCTACCGCGCACCGTACCGTACCGTACGCCTCTATACACTGGGAGAGAGTGCCGTTGGTGCTGGTGCGAGAGCGTGTAGCCTGTGGCAGGGGCGCCGTGTCTTCCTTACCGTGGAAGAACTGGCCCGATGTCAGGGCGGCGACCACGCAGAGGAGCGTCCCACGCACCTGGAGGAGCAGACGAAAGACGGGTCTATCAGGGCTGAGCTGGCTGGGCGGGGTCGGCTCGCGCTGCGCGGTGTGCGCCGCATCAATGGACACCGCGGCGAATGATTGTGCCCACTGCTCTAATAGATGGTCTGAACTCGAAGTTTGAAACGCATCACAGGAATGAGATGAAATACTGGGTGCTACGAACGATTCAAACGCCGCATGGCTCAACAGATGACACACCAAAATTGGTGAAGCAGTACTAAATAAATAGAGCAATGCTTTCCTACATTTGGTGGTACTCGCATAATGTACACGATTTTTAAATGTTGTGTGTACAGCGCATTAAGAACATTCAAACCCATTTACGCCTACCCATTCTGTGCAAACCTCAGGGGGCCTTCGACTTCATCAATGCAAGCTGGAATTGGCATCAATTGAAATTTGGATATCCGCCGGTGGTTGTAATGTCAGGCTGAATGGTCTGACCTATGATGGTTTGCAATGATCACAATTTACATCAATAGTTTGATTCCTTTTGTCTTTAAGTATTCATCCCTTCAGTTGCAACCGCTATACTCTGTGTTGTACTCGTAGTGCATGAATTTATGTCATCATCCACACCTCGAAGACAAAATATATTTCGAACCAATCACACGTTTGACCTGGGCTAGTGCAAAATTATTGGTTTAGCCAGTCATTTGTACCTTGAATCCGGTACAAAAAATACTATTTATTTCCGACTTGCACAATTTGCTTTTTTGGCGGCGCAAAATGTCAGCGCCATCATGTAATGTGTCGTAAACGCTCTGACATAACCAGCCCATACCACGTCGCCCCCTCGTGCCGATGCCCAGCTGACTCTCGCGTGCCGGTTCGGCCCAGCGGAGCGGATGGTCGGCACCGCCAGCTGGAGAGCGGCGGAGATGCATCTCCCTCGTGTCTCCTCCAGACCGCACGCGGCCGGGCTGCTTGGCCGGCAGCGGGACCGCCGACCACTGGGCTTCCGCACAAACAGTGGGCCAATGTCGCGTGACAGCCGTTTGGCGTGGCGCCTTACTGATATCCCACCGATTACATAGTGTTGGCACATTTCACAGTCCGGGCTGCCACCAGAAAATGACTCGTGTCTGTCACCGTATCTAATTGGCTATTGCCGATCTAATGGGCTAACAGATGCATTGTCGTTTTGCTATCTGTCAGCCGGTTTGCCTGAGTCATGACTTAAACGCACCCACGATTGGTTGCTAAGATCGCTTACGCACTATTAGACGAACATTTGTTCCCACCCTGCCCCATCCACGTGCTCAAGCGCCATGACTTCAATTACCGCTCAAACCATTATTTACGATTGTCACCGGTATTACGCGAGTGGGTTCAGCCCGAATGGTGTCCTCGGCTCTGTTGGAAGCCGCCCACGTCTGTTTTTTTTCCATCTGATCACTCAGAGTCCGATGATGTTTATCTTGCAGGATGAAGTAAGGCACACATTTTCACTCGTTTCCATTTCGGTAACTTGTAAGGGTGAAATTCACGTTGCCTGGTTGCCAATGCTGTATTTTCTACGTCAATATTGTTAGGGAGTGTGCCTGCCCTGATTTGACCACAGCGGGGACGTCTGGGGTCAAACTGAGAAGCTCCAGCTGAGCACCGGCTGGGCTTAGATTGACAAGCTCGAGCTGAGCCCCGGCTGGGGTCAGACTCACAGACTCGAGCTGAGCCCCGGCTGGGGTCAGACTGACAAGCTCGAGCTGAGCGCGGCTGGGGTCGGACTGACAAGCTCGAGCTGAGCCCCGGCTGGGTTCAGACTGACAAGCTGGAGCTGAGCCCCGGCTGGGGTCAGATTGACAAGCTCGAGCTGAGCGCCGGCTGGGGTCAGACTGACAAGCTCGAGCTGAGCGCGGCTGGGGTCAGACTGACAAGCTCGAGCTGAGCCCCGGCTGGGTTCAGACTGACAAGCTGGAGCTGAGCCCCGGCTGGGGTCAGATTGACAAGCTCGAGCTGAGCCCCGGCTTTGGTCAGACTGACAAGCTCGAGCTGAGCGCCGGCTGGGGTCAGACTGACAAGCTCGAGCTGAGCGCCGGCTGGGGTCAGACTGACAAGCTCGAGCTGAGCCCCGGCTGGGGTCAGACTGACAAGCTGGAGCTGAGCCCCGGCTGGGGTCAGACTGACAAGCTCGAGCTGAGCGCGGCTGGGGTCGGACTGACAAGCTCGAGCTGAGCCCCGGCTGGGGTCAGACTGACAAGCTCGAGCTGAACCCCGGCTGGGGTCACACTGACAAGCTCAAGCTTAGCCTCGCCGCTCATAGGACGCTGTTGTTCTGACTGATTGCACTTATGGCATAACAGAGATTCTTCGTTCGAGGTAATGCACGTGGTTCATATAACTTTGCATCAAACCAAATCATATACAAATCGAGGGCACGTTATTCAACAGCAGAAACCACCCAATATTTGTCGAAACTCTACAAGGCAGAACAATCCACTGAAGCGGGGCGGCGTCCTGAGTGTGACTCAAAACTTCTTGTGGCGCGATTCCGACGTGGTCGTTCACGTGTTTGAAGTGCCAGTGCGGTATCAAGAGAGTACAGTGGCGCGGTGACCGGGCTGACGAAGCTGAACCGGTTATGCGCCGGGGTAGGGCGCGTAAGTCTAATGCACTCCGAATGTCCGGCTGATCATTCATGTGGTACGGTACCAGGCAGACTGACTCTGTGTCCAAGAGAAGAACTGGCTGACGAGGGCTGTGTGATTTGTGTGTGTGGCTGTTGTGTGACGTCTGCTTGGTGCACACTTCCGTGCTCTAGCTCAACACCGCTTGGGATGTTTGACTGCCCTTCACTGTCTGGCGTGTGAGTGTGGCTGAACACCTTTCGCATGACGCGCTTGTAGGAAAACGATTCGATCTCATACGGCATTTCGTACGGGAAATGCACGTACAAATGGGGTGCGTGTAGTGTAGTGGTTAACACGCCTGCGTTAACCACTGCGCGTCTGGGAAACCAAAGGTACGGAGTTCGATTCCCCGCGGTGCCCGCCCTTCCTGTCAGGGTGAGAGGCTGGCGACGCCATATAGCCTCAGCAGCTGAGTGCGTCGTAAAGACCCAATGACACACACAGTGCAAATACAAATGTTGAGAATGGGCGTTTTAAATCGAGCCCACCTGTGAGGTTGTGACACTGTACGTCCTTAGTTCACCTTAGTATTACCTTAGTTCACCACGCTGGAAACTTTGATCTGTCGATGGGCGTCAAAGAATGTCGAATACCAGTGATGTGTTCGTAGGATGTTTGTTATTGATGGACTAGTTTGGACAGCATAACAAAGGTTGACGTATCCTCCCCTTGTCCTGAGAGGAGCGCCGTAGGGGTGCCAAAGTCCAGGCGGTCTAACATACCGAACCATTTGCTTAGGTGTCTCCGCCACTTGCCTTTGAAATTTTCGTCGCCTTAAGACCACCCCAACGTAAAAACAGCTACCACCGCCATCACATCTGCAGCCTTTGTAAGCATTCATTTCAGACCATACTTTTATTTGACATCGGCTGACATTACGCATGAATATGTGGCGACTACGCGTCGTTAGTCTGAGAGTTGAAAGAATATGCCAACAACAACGGAAAGTAATAAGGGTTAAAAACATATCAACGCATGCAAGCATAAACAGCATAAGGCAGCCATATGACACAAAATATGCCTTGGCAGTGCGCTTAAAACCGGTCGAATCCGTTTGTCTAACATTCCCTGGGAATTCGTTGATGAGACAAGCCGCTCGGTATGCGAAGGGCCGCTGTCCTGTCGCCGTCCGCGTCGCCGGGGGGCGCAGCTATGGCCCACGCGGGTAGGACGGTCACTGGTCCGCGCGTTGGCGTGTGTTTGAAGCACTTAGGCAAGACCTGCAGGTCCACCTCGCCCACGGGCTTTGTGGGCAGTGATAACAGTTTGCATTTTACGCCTCTGGCGAGGCGCGGCAAAGTGCAGGTCATCCCAAGCGCGAGGCATGTGGTCATGCTTTCGGAGGCCAGTAACTACTCTGGTGCGAAGTTAACTACTTTCGGCAATCTGGTTCCGCTAACAGCCAACCCCTGGTCATTAAGTGAAATGCAGTTTCTCACGCGCGAGATGACTAGGCCCCGCATGATGGTCAGCAATACTGGTGAGAAGAAATACTTCGTAGAAAAATGACTAAATGCTTTGCAGGGATGGCCTCAGCATCTTGACCAAGAATGTTGATCACCGCTAAGCATGGCTTGTTAACCATGGGGTCTCGTGAGAGGGGCGGGGATGGAGCGAGCCACATGACTACGTCAGATGAGATCCTTCGTAATACATTTGTTGTTATGTTTTTTGCCGTTGGAGCAAAGGAAAGCTATTTGGGTGAAGCGTGGCAACATTAGGGACCAACGTCTCTAAGATATTGACATAAAGTGTCCGCAGTCGAGCGCATGTTGCATTGCGGGCGTAGACTAGATAATATCCCTGACTTGCACATACAACTACAATAGATGTCCAGCGTCTTTTCCCCAATCCTACAACCTTAGAAGAGCAATATCGGTCTGCCGGACAATTCTGTAGACAGATTTTGCCGTGCCACAGAACGACACAGCGCGATGAGCTATACCAGCCTGTACAACGCCGTGCACTGGAAGAGACTTGCAAACATTTCGCTATCTCTGCCCGCCCCAGTACTAGTGGAGCATTCCCGGCCGCCATCGCAGCAGTGCGCCGGGCAGGTACTCACCAGCAGGCGAGCGGCCATGTTGTGAGACTGTCGTGCCGTCCGCAGGTGCCGACCCGTCTCCCGCGCCGCCGGTGACTGGCAGAGCGCCGCTGACTCGGACCCGCTCGCTATATACCGGCCGGCCGCTCCCCGACCCAGGGTCAGCCGCTCCCCGACCCAGGGTCAGCCGCTCCCCGACCCAGGGTCAGCCGCTCCCCGACCCAGGGTCAGCTGCTCCCCGATCCAGGGTCAGCCGCTCCCCGACCCAGGGTCAGCCGCTCCCCGACCCAGGGTCAGCCGCTCCCCGACCCAGGGTCAGCCGCTCCCCGACCCAGGGTCAGCCGCTCCCCGACCCAGGGTCAGCCGCTCCCCGACCCAGGGTCAGCCGCTCCCCGACCCAGGGTCAGCTGCTCCCCGATCCAGGGTCAGCCGCTCCCCGACCCAGGGTCAGCCGCTCCCCGACCCAGGGTCAGCCGCTCCCCGACCCAGGGTCAGCCGCTCCCCGACCCAGGGTCAGCCGCTCCCCGACCCAGGGTCAGCCGCTCCCCGACCCAGGGTCAGCCGCTCCCCGACCCAGGGTCAGCCGCTCCCCGACCCAGGGTCAGCCGCTCCCCGATCCAGGGTCAGCTGCTCCCCGACCCAGGGTCAGCTGCTCCCCGATCCAGGGTCAGCCGCTCCCCGACCCAGGGTCAGCCGCTCCCCGACCCAGGGTCAGCCGCTCCCCGATCCAGGGTCAGCCGCTCCTCGACCCAGGGTCAGCAGCTCCCCGATCCAGGGTTAGCCGCGCCTCGCCGGCCTGCCTCAGGTCAGCCTGGGGCGCAGCGGTCACTCAGGCCTGCCGCGCTGGGTCAGGCGGGGCCCAGGTTAGGGAGAATTAGCGTGCGACGCGGGGAGCACATTCAGACTTAGACCCAGTGGGATCACGTGATGGGCCAACCTGGGTCATTGTGCACTGATCAAGTTCACGATGGGTCGCGCGGGGGTGGTAAGTCAGGCTGCATCGTGATTCGTTAGGCTTGGCAACTATACGCCAGTTATTTTCGTGACGGGCTCACCTAAGGCTCTGTAATAGCGCTCCCCCTGGGTGGTAATGGACGAGGCTGGATCGTGTTGGACTGGCGCGTGTCATGATGCCGTGAGCTGTTGTGGAGGATCGGTGTCGGATAACATGGGCTGGGTCGCAAGGAGTCAGGCTGAAATGAGGCTAATACGATGGGAGTTTAATTGGGTTGAGATGTCTTGTCTTGTCTTTTCTTGTCTTGCCATGTCTTGTGCGAACCTTGATGGGATAGATCAGACTGGTTGTTTCGGTCTAGTTAGATCGTGTTGGAGTGGGCCGGTTCATGCTTTGGCAGTTACCTCATAAAAATATTGAGGAAAGAATTGTTCAGTAGGCTTGAACGATATAGCTTGGATGGTGGGTTTCGGGTACATGCAACCAGTTCTGCTACCCAATTACTCTGAGCCCAAAACAACCGGCCAACGGAAACCGTTTACACTAAATTATTTGACGTGCCGAACCAAAATTAGAGCAGTAATATGCCTTTGCGGCGTGGAACGACCGATGAGGCAATATATGTCATTGCTATCATCATCTGTGATCTAGGTGATGCCGAAAAATGAGTGAATCAGACCCGCTGTATTTGGGACCCGTGTGATAGTACCCCACAGTGTTACAACACACTTTCCCACGAATTCACCAGGCGGAGGTACATTAAACGCCGATGTGTAATGTTCGGACGTAAGTGTACAACTAATATCGACTAAACTGCAAGATTGCTTTAAGCTTACCAATGCCTGGCAGGTTTAATGAATGTGGTACACGAATTGCTTGTTGCTTTTTTTGCTGGTGACTGACCAACTTTTTGCGGAAGACGTTGATATTTTGAGTGTGCGTTAGGTACAATGATCTGCACTACATGCCCCTGCACTGTGCATGCCCCGATCTGTTTCAGCTGAGGCTACTGCGTAATGTATTGGAGGACGGTTTTGTAAATTGTGAGATTGCCCGCTTCTTTGTGGATGGCTAAGACATCTAGGTTCGGCATTGTTGATATATCTTAATGATTTTTTATGGTGGGTTTACTGATATTGTGCGGTTGTTTTCACGCCTCCACCTTCTCTGACCGTCGAAATGTGACGCTAAGCCGTAAAAGCTTCAGAACCGGTGGATCCATGGTTTGCGCACGATTATATTTCATTGTCTAGATATATTGACCAACACTTTCGCGATCGCCATTACCTGTTTTCCCTTCGTCGGCTTTGGTAGACCCTATGTTAATGCGACGCCTGCTAGCCAAAACCTGGTCCAGTTCAGACCCGTGCTCATCATATTTTACAAAATTTTAAGATTATACGGCTTCCATCCTTATCGGGCGGAATCATGAATAGCGTTCACGGTGCAACATTGCAGAAATACAGAGTCTGATGGGATATCTGGCGTCAAGTGCTTTGAAAATATGGCGGCACGAGTTTTCGAGTCACATCACTTGTCGCTGAAAACATCCTTGCGGTACGCCCAGCGGCTTTAAAAAAAAAAACGTTATCATGTCCAAGCCGTGGCTGTCCTGGCAGTCTGGTTTGGCCGCTGTGGCTGCAACATTTCCAGATTATTTGATGGCAAGCCTAAGCGGCCTTGCTTTCAATCATCATCTGGATGCTATGCAAACGTTGGTGAATGTATGGAACCACATACAAGTTGAATTGCATACATGCATGCATACAACCACGCAAGCATGCGTGAATGAACAGAGCAATGGAATATCCTTCTTTCATGAGCTCTGCAGGCCGAGTTTCAGTAACGTTTAGTATCTGTTCACCGTTTCACCAGCGACATGGCTTGAGAATGAACTGGCTGCCAATCCAACCCGGCCCGACAATCCCAATGGAATCATTCGAGGAACTTGCCATGATTTGCCGCTTTGACGACGAAAGCGTTTGCGAAACAGGCGACTACTTTTGGATGGATATTGGCATCAAAGGCCATTACTTCACGCCTCTGCAGTGTGCATGGCCAAAATTTAATGATGTGTGCCACATCATTTCGCACTCGAGATCGCTTCAGGAAATATGGCAGCGACGGCTTTCCGGTCGAGTGGTGGTGATACCGTCAGTGGGACACATTGGGATACATAAGCACAATGTTGCCGGCGCATCAACCAACACCGTGCAGCACATTCCACGTCTCCATCTTCTTTAGCTGCTGATGTCTGGCAGCAATCCTTGCAGACACCACAGGACGGGCGACTCCGTGCTTGGCGTACGGCAGTGCGAGATTTTCAGCGAGCACGTCAATACGCAACTTTCCCCGTACATATATCTGTTTTATTCTCCGTCAGCATTAGTCGGACGTCACTGGTACATCTCGTTATGCCGTCGGATCTGGCCTGGTCTATATGTCTGACTGCCGATGTCTAGAACTGCTTCTAAAATCTTTCGAAGTTTTCCCTGACTTGAACCTACGCATCTCGTGTTACCTAAATTTGGAAGGTGAAATGATAATGATATTGTAGTGTTGCAGAAGCACGCCGCTTGACCAAACATCTTGCTCTCAAATGTCCTGAAACTGTCACGGCGCGGCTTTTTGGGATTTAGCAGCTTGTCTTTGAAAACTTAGTAGTTGCAAGTTTAGTGCATGCAGGTACATGAGGTCTGTCAAAAGCATGACTGACCGAGTTCGGCCGCTCAACCACAGCCATAAAATGTACAAATAGCTGGCGCTAAAACTCGCTTGGTTTGTATCCCTGCTTGTAACGACAGCCTATCAAAGCGTTTCACCACAAAGCATACGAAAATCAAGAGCTTGAAGCCTTTCATGAGTACGTCTGTGGCAGGCCCTTACAACACTGGTGAATCCTACCTGAATGGATGAATGAGTTCTACCTGACATATCGCACCCCTGGAGCTATGGAACAGGGAACATTAACATGTGTTGCGATGGTTGGAAATCGGTCTTTTCATAAACGCAAATTTGACTCGCGGGATTTGCTTTCCAGGCAAAACACGATGGCTAGATGACTAGGGCATGCAGAATAGAGCCATATACCATAAATTTTGTGTAATTATATAGTATTTGCATATGTGTATGACAGACAATCAACGCCGCCACGACTTTCCAACCCAGAATCGGTGCGTGGTTTTTTCCTAACGAAGGTGGTTGTTAATGCCATTATTTTAATGTCATTAACGTCGCAAACAGCAAACGCGTAATACCATAGTGTGACAGGGCTCCCTATGGCGTGAATCAAATAACAGGCCTCTTATCTTAAAGTGGAACGACCTTACTGCCTGACTACTGCCTCCAACCATTGACAGGTCATGTACTAAATGCGTCCCCGAGGGCATTCAGAATAGAGCCATACACCATCAATTTTGTGTAATTATATAGTATTTGTATATGTGTATGGCAGACAATCAACGCAGCCGCGACTTTCCAACCCAGAATCTTTCAAGGCATATTTCATGTAGGCTGAAAGGATCATGGGCCATGCGCAATCACTGAGGTGGTTACTATTTACTTATATCCTATCGAGTTGTGGATATTAATTCAGTGATGCTTTTAAGGAAGTACCACCAGCGGTATTTTAAGATAAGATTAGCGGATGTTCTTCAGTAAACTGCACGCTTATCATACGTCATTGCTAACGCCGGGCAGGACGGCTGCCTGTGACGTCACACGTGGGTGCACGTCCGACGGTGGTTGGCAGGACGGCTGCCTGTGACGTCACAAACGGGTGTACGTCCGGCAGCGGTCGGCTCTGTTTCGCAGGACGGCTGTGTCGTCAGCGCCGCCGGCCCTCCTCTGACGGGCTTAGACAGGTGCTCCCCGCCCACCCGCCGCGGTGTCAACACCGTGTCAGCGGTGTGTCGGCGGCGTGTCGGCCGGGCGGGCGGGGGGGGGGGGGGGGGGGTGGTGATGTGTCGCGTCCTCAAGCGGCCCGGTCAGTCAGCTGGCCGACGAATGCGATACACATCGGGGGGAGGGGGGGGGGGGGGAACAGACCGCAGTGACAGCCATGTGGATGAGATTTAGTAACGCCGCCTGACACACCCTATTGCCGAAACACGGCTCTCTGGGATTGTGCGTTACAGTGCATGAGACAGGGTGGGCAGGGAAATGTAACTAACATCTTAGCGTGTTTCCTCGTTATTCCGTAAAGATATTTGAACACCAAGTGCTTGGTGACCTCGACGCGCTGTAATCGACACAGTCGCTGCTTTAAGCGATTAGGCCTTCCAGATAGGGCGTTACCTCTCACTTTGCCTGGAATGAACCGAAAATTACTATTTGGAAAGGCAGCTCTCCGATCGCAGAAGATCCAAGCACACAGATATCATCGCTCTCCAGCATTGTCTTGCGCCGGACTGCACGGTACAAAAACTTCGAAAGTAGGTACACTGTGACAACTCCTACCAGTAAGTGGTATATAGTAGATGAGACAGGATACAAACAGGGACAGATGCATGCCTGGCGTCGTGCTCGCATTAAACTTACAGCTCTGCAGAATTAGTACGGTGTCAAGAGCAAGCTTCAGTAAAAAAGAAAAATGCTAAATTAATCAATGTGATATTCAACAGATTTTTGCGAGTCCAGCTGTAAGAATCCTTGACTAGCCCAAACTTCTTGAATGGATTCCCTTTCGTCACGAGATGTTTTGAGGTCTCTAAACCGAGCGGAACACCAAAGCACATTTCCTTTTTTACAGAGAAACACAAGAAAACTAAAGATATCACCAGCGTGTTCTTTGCGCACGAAGAAGAGAAACGCGGACAAAAACTCCGCTTACTGGCAGTGTTTGGAAGCAGAGCGGATAGTGTTCTTGGCTAACTCCTCGGGCGTATTTAGCCTGGTATGTAAAGCCAGTGATGGAGTAAATCTGCTGCAGAGCTCCTAAATGAAAGAAGCTCCCTCGCTGAATTGCTAGGTTCGCCAAATACCAAACGTAAATACCATACGTCGCTACGGGTGCGCGACAGGGCGGCAGCCAGAGCCCTACAATGCTAGCGATACAGCGCGGTGGTGGCGTAGTCGTAAGACTTATCGAGAAGTCAGCTCAGAAGATCAGAAGTCAACGATGCTGAGCGAGGTGAGCGAATTGCACATAGTCAAACTTCAAGCACCTTCAAGCGTTTGGCCCTGTTCAGATTACCACCAGTGGGTCCCCTCAAACTAAGGGCTTGGAGTTTGACATGAAAGACGTTCTTGCATATGACGGCCAACAATGGTAAGGAACGGTGAAGAGAGAAGACAAAATAGCATGCATGGTGACCGCTAAGTGGCTGCTCAAAAACAAACCTGCCCAGACTATAGGAGTGTAGTTTCACAACATTAGCTCGTGGAGGTGAGCTGCACTGTGAGCAATAGCCCAAAACCCCGCCGAATTACGCAACCGATGGGTGTCTCCACGGATTTAGATTTTTCTCTCCTCAAAGTTCCGGGGTGGGGGCGAATGTATCTTCTACGTGAGACATTTGCGTTGGCGTTTGGGTGTGCTCAGTACGCACCACGAGACGTCACACCGCGCGTTATCCCACTCGATGCAGATCACGTTACAGCGGCATACTTCACAAAATGAGCTGGCGGTGGGGCTGCGTAGTCGAGATTTTCAAGACCCATCTCAAAAGCTTGGCACCAAACGGGCTTTCCGTGTATTTGCCCACTTTTTCCGCATAGTTGGGGAAGCTGGAGTCTAAGTGTGGGAGGGGCTACAGGTGGATAAGAAATCATGCCCTTGTGACCTGAGGACATAAGTTTATTTCGTGGGGACTCAGTGCACATGGACGTGGCCGACGGCCTTATAGACAAAACGCAAGTGATTGAAAACCTTCACCCTGATTCGAAGTTTTCTGTAAAGCGGGCTTATAGCGGGGCGATGCGACAACCTCCATCACTCTGCCGATTCCAAGCTAAGAAAGGTAAAGTCTAGCAAAAGAGCGCTAGTGGATTGGCCTCAACGAGATGTTGCGATTTGTAACGAGATTTATTGTTGCTGAGCAAGGTCATCTGGCCAAAAGTCAAAATATCTTGAACATCGAACTTGTTCAGCTTTACATGCTCATGTTAACTAGACCATGCTTTGTGGTGACGCGAAACTTAGCAGGCATGCTCCTTGTACAGTTTTGAGCGTAATGGTGATTAACGTTATGTGTTTTTAGCATACATTTATTATGTATAGTGCTGTTAATGCACCATAAGAGATTACTTCTCACTGTTCAGCTCACCTACGCCAACCAATTTTGTGAAAGTACATCCCTATAGTCTGTGCAAGTTTGCTTTTGAGGAATCAATTAGGAGCCACTGAACGTGCCATTTTGTCTCTGCTCTCTTCACTGTTCCTAATCATTTTTTTTTTTACCGTGTTGGGTAAGAACGCCGCTTAAGCCAAACTCCAAGCGCTTAGTTTGAGGGGATCCGGTGGTGGTAATCTGCCCAGAGCCGCACAGTTAAAAATACTTGAAGTTTGACTATGTGCAATTTGCTTATCTCACTCAGCATCGTTGCCTTCATGATCTTTTCAAGAACGCTTACGACTACGCTGCCACCGCGCTGTGGCGCTGTTATTACAGGGCCACGGCTGCCGCCCCGTCGCACACCCGTAGCGGCGTATGATATATACGTTTGGTATTTAGGGGCTATAACATCCCAGCGAAAAAAAACTTCTATTATTTGGCACCTTTGCAACCGACTCTCTCCACCAGTGGCGTTCTCATATCTACCAGAATAAGCACGCCTGTGTCAGTATTGGAATGACTGCGCGTGGCACGGCGTTCGCGTCTGACTGTCTTTCCGGTGATCATCTGACGTCACTGACGCGGCCAGTATGACGCCATGGTCAGGCGTGGACCGTACGTGTGCAGGAGTGCGGGCTATCTCCTCCCGACCCAGCTCAGAGGAATGATGTGAGCCTTAGAGAGTGTTTCACACGGCGTGGAGCAGGTGAATGCTATTGGGCGTGATTGGTCAAGTCTAGTCAATAAAATCTCCGTAAAGTCTGTCATGTCTTTTGGCATGGGTGAGTGAAGATGAATGGAGCTTTGTGAACGATATGGCTTGTAAAACGGCGTGAAGGAAAGCTGAAAATCGAACCCAAACGAAGAAAAGCAGTTAACTGAAACCATCGCGCAAGCGCCAAGCCTTGCCAAGTTGTTACATGGCAGCTTTCGAGAGTCAGTGTCATATATATCTTGATAAACATTGTACCAGATATATATGATTAATGCACTCTGCTGCAAGAAAAGCATGTTTGGTGTCACAGAACCGAAGCTCCTACTGTGTTTTGTTAAGTTATGCATTGATTTAGGTGTTTTAGCTTGTTTATCTCCCTAAATTAGTTCCTCTCGAACTCAGCCGTAGCTTAATTAGAATCGAAATGACTGGCTTAACACATGAGGTAAAGTATCCATCACCAGGGACCTAGAAATGTGTCCCTGTCAGGCAGTTCATGGCACGATTAGTGCTAATTTGACCCCTATGACCTTATTTGATCCGTCAAAGGCTATAAGCACCATTGCTAAGTTACACCTATCTCATGTAGGTTGACGGCAGCTTTCATGCGCCTTTTTCCCGAGGCGAAATTGCAATGGATTTTGGTTTTATTGAGGGAGCGGCTCTGAGACACCACTTTGTAGGCAAAGGTAGAAAACTCTGCAGAGCGAGAGGTAACCAACTCAAGGTGTTTGCACAAATCTTGCGGCTCTTTCAACCTGTGAGGAACATGTGCAGGTTTGTAGACAGGATTGTATTGTAGGGAGATCAATTCCTGACTCGCCTACGTGTTTTAAATCCTTAGGTTATGTATAGACATCACAATGCCTACACCGAGGTGCGTATCCAAGTGCAAATAAGCACCAGGTGTGGATTAATTTCGGTAGAATTAGTGAGACCTGCGGGTTTCAAATTGACAATACCAATTTACTGGAAATGGGCGTGTCGTATGTCATGACGTATGTACATGACGCATAGTTTAAGAAAAATAGCATGACATCGCCGTGCCTTGGTCAGTCCTTCACTCTCACGCGGTTGGGACCCTGTCCGTAGTGAAAGCATTGCAGCTGCTTTGTTCACGAGACAGACTGAGCAGTAAAGAACGTAACCCCACATGCACTGACCGTTGGGGTGACTGAGTTTCGGGATCCAATTAAATGGGCCCAAATCTGCCTCATTTTTCAAACGGTGAATTTCACACTGATATCCCGCCAAGCGGGGTGTTGCGTGAGTCGTTGGCGCTTGAATTGTCAGCGGCCGTTATGCAGTCTGTCGTCGTATAAGTATCTGCAATTGCGCGGATCTCAGCTATCGCCAGCTGCCGCTGTTTCGGGACGGCAGGCATATAGATGGCGCTTCTTCCGCTCGCCCCATTTGTCGTGGCAAAACGCATACATTGGGAAACCTGTGCATTAAAAACATGAGTACTTACATGGTTTGACATTAGGTGAAGACACACCCAATCACATCTGGAGTAAAGGCGTTCCACAAACAGCTCCTGACCGGTGTCGTCAGCCGGGCTTTGCGTGCCAAAGCGGAAGTAACATGATATATCTGGCGTTTTGGTAGGCAAGGATCGCGCCGGACCAAGCCTGTACCATCCTAAAAAGACAGTCGGAAGGCCCCACAAGCTTGCAGTCTACTCTATCCAGTACCCATCACCGGGGTCCAAATCTTTCGAAGACACTGACGCAGTTTATCTTCAGGCTGCTATGCAACTATGCAAAAGTCAGCGTGGGGTATGTCTCACAAAAAAAGACATTGAGCTATGTGGTTTTCCAAGCAGGCACTGTGTAAGTACGGTACTGGTGCTAGTACCAACACAAGTGCACTAATACCGACACAAGCATGCTTTCTCTTCTGAAACCATCAGGAAGTATCAACATGGCTTTACATGATCTCGCCTTGCATATAAATCTCTCACCACCTTGGTTGACCTATCCTGGTGACACGTTTTACGTCAAAACGGTGTTACAACGACCAAGGTGGTTGAGAGGGCGCCCTCACAGTTGGGGCACCAGTTTTAATGTGCAGGAAGAGCAGCAACAATGCATGCAAGGATCTGGGACCTGCAGAGTGCTACATACTCTTTGACGCTTCTTCGCGAATTAATACGTAACATCGAATGTTACCAAACTTTCCACACACCTGCAGTGATCGTGTTGCGTATCGTGTGGCAGAAGTCGCAGTCAAGGCACGCAGTGTGGGCAACGAACACGCCTTTGTAGTTGCCACGTGATTTCCACCGTCGATGTCCATTGCCTGAAGACAACAATGAGCACAGACGTACGGCTAGATGTAAGATATGATGAGGCACGTTCAAGTGTGCACGAGTGCGCAGTGATAGTTGTTTCCAGGGGTCTACTTTAAGGCTTGGTCGGCTCCCACGGGCTTAGCTGCGGTCACGCTCGCCAGACAGGCAGCGTTATTACGCAGACGGGTCTCAGCCATGGAGGGGGCAAGTGGGCGGACAAGGGGACGTGCTCCTTAAATTTGAGAGAGAGAAAAACGCCAGCTTGTCCCAGATCGTGAAGTGCCGGTCGCCCGTATCTGGCGTGTTTACACCGCTGTTCACACCGTTGTTTACACCGCTGTTTACACCGCTGTTCACACTGCTGTTTACACCGCTGTTTACACCGCTATTTACACCGCTGTTTACACCACTGTTTACACCGCTGTTCACACCGCTGTTTACACCGCTGTTTACACCGCGTGTTTACACCGCTGGTCTGTGAGTGGTCGTCTATAAGCAGGTGGTGCGGCAGATGATCTCGGTGACGGCGTACGGGTCACAGTTGGAGCTGGGACGTCTGTCTTCCAGGTAACCTTTGCCATCCTCCGCCACCTGGCGCGGGATGCGGATACTAGCGCCGCGGTTGGCCACGCCTGAAAACAGAGGTTGCTAGGTGGCAGCACTGCACTGGACATGGTATGCTGGAGTCACGTGAGGTAGCACACATGCATTTATGTTTTTACGTAAGTGTACGTTCCTTTTTGCTGGAAAATCACTGTTCTTAATTGGGTTTTTGAATCGGTTGTCACACTATATATTCAACCATCAAGGATGTACAGATGTCAAGATGGCTGCTGAGGAAGGTGGATAGATGTTGAGAGAAGGTTGAAACTGAAAGCGACGGAGAGATACAGAGAGGTGACGGAGGGTTGATGGTACAGGGATGTGACGGAGGGTTGATGGTACAGGGATGTGACGGAGGGTTGATGGTACAGGGATGTGACGGAGGGTTGATGGTACAGGGATGTGACGGAGGGTTGATGGTACAGGGATGTGACGGAGGGTTGATGGTACAGGGATGTGACGGAGGGTTGATGGTACAGGGATGTGACGGAGGGTTGATGGTGCAGGGAGGTGACGAAGGGTTAATGGTACAGAGAGGTGACGGAGGGTTAATGGTACAGAGAGGTGAGGGAGAGTTGATGGTGCAGGGAGGTGACGAAGGGTTAATGGTACAGGGATGTGACGGAGGGTTGATGGTACAGAGAGGTGAGGGAGAGTTGATGGCCAGAGGCGCGGCGGAGGGCTCATGGTACGGAGAGGCCAGGCTCAGAATTGAGAAGAGAGGAAAGCCATTGAAGGGGAAGGTTGCAACGCAGAGGGACTGAGAGGAGGAAGACTGACAGCGAAATAAACCGAGAACGAAGTAAATTGCGAGAGAGAGAGAGGGGTCGTACTTGGAAAGTCAAAGGGCGAAGAGAAAGGACGGGGGGGGGAGAGAACAGGAGACCCGACAGCAAACGGGAAAATGTGGGGAGGGGAGGGGGATGGAGCGGGGCGCGCCTGACCTGCCGAGAAGTCGGTGATGGCCGAGGTCTCGTGCTGCCCCGTCAGACGACGGGCGTTGTCAGAGCCCCCTTTGGGGTCGTAGCACTTGATGTGTTCATCGTGTACCGTTGCGAGCTTCTTGATGGCTGCCTCGATCTCCCTGGAGCACACACAGCCAGAACCTCGGTCATCTGGAGCGCCGTGCTCACGATCCATCGGTGTTACCAGATGCCAGATGTTTAGTCAGATGTAGCCTAAGTCACTCAGTAAACGTGCATATTTATTCCCCGATTTAGTGCACCTGTAGGGTGGGAATGTGGGAGTTATGGGAATTAGCTTGTGCATGGGTGTGACGGTTCATATTTCCTTGGATAAATGAGCGTCAAAAAGACAGGTTTAGTGTCTTGGCGATGGATCTCACCAGAGGGTCATGGCGTCGGTGGTGGTTTTGTTACATAGATAGAGTTGGTAAATTGTTTTGAGCTTTCTTCATCCGACTGCAGCCCGCTCGTGATCTGAGGTCGGTCATTTCTAAACACGCTCGCGATACGTGGCAGAACTAGCTCGCCCAACATCTTCACGCTTTCGGGAAAATCAAGCCCCAACTGGGTGATTGGGAATCTTCCCCCCGCTGAAGCCGCTTCCAGAAAGTCGTCCTTTGTAGGCTTCGGTTGGGTCATACATATGCAACACACTCGTTTTACTTGACGCGTAGCGATGTGCCACGGTGTGATAGATACGGGGCCGGTTGTCAGCGGAACATGTGCTCGTCTCATGCCGGCGCCTTGAGATGGAAAGGCGACGACTTTTTTTCCTCCAGCGCTCCTTCATCGGCTAATCGGTCGAGACCCATGTTATGGATTTGGAGATGTACTTGCACTTTTAGCGCACATTAACTTTGACGTTATTTTCACTCACCCCTCAGTGTAAGTGTACCAGTGATACCCCTGTAATTAGTTGACAACACACTTATCGCGTCGCCGCAGAGGTAGATAACCGTCATCGAGTGGGGTCAAAATGGCCCCCATGCCGGCGCGCCCCAAAACACCAAATCACCGCCACCAGTCGGCCGCCGGGGGCGTGTTCAAGTTTTTGTTAGCACGAAGGTAGAAGTGGCCACGTATGTAAATAAGCGAGCGTCTAGCGAACCAACAAATTCTGAGAAAAACACTATCCCGCTATTTTGATCAGATCAGGCGGTTGGGTTCGGCGAACGCTCTCAGTTTTCGTTAAGCGATGATGAGCTAAGGGCTACGGCATGCATCCCGTGTCCGGCAAAGCCGATCATGACAAGCCGGTACGTACTACCCGCAGACAAGCATAGGCACCACTGGGTGCGACAAGACCGCAAGCGAGGAATCGTCTGGCACTTTCTTCCAGTAAGGCGCCGTGCGCGGCCTGCGGTAAGAATAGAAGTGGGCGTTGTCGTGCGGACAATGCCGAAATCTAAGCAGATGGAGCTAAGCGATTTGTGTCTTGAAAATGTTGCAAGTAGTTGTGTGAGACGCTTAAGAGCAGCTTCGGTGTTTTCCAGGGCTTTGCCCTGCAGCCATCGCCGCACAGCGCGTTCAACAACGATGCGACGCACCTCGTGCCCGAGACACACGTCATCCAGTACGCCGAAAACACCCAAATTTCAGCGCCCGGGGGAAATGAGAGCACAGGTGCTCTGGTTGATCGCGTGTAGCGCACCTCGTCCTCCCTGAACGTGTGGCCCACAGCTAACTCTCTAAAGGTAAACTCAACAAAAACACCAGTTCGGCAGTTGGCAGCACCTCCGTGCTGCCAACGCCCATCCGAGATCGGTTTCTGCGGAGGTTGGCCTTCTGCTCCGGAACCGCGGCGGGGAAGCGGGGTTTGATATTCGATTGGCGTGGGATGTCCGAGAAGCACATGTTTCAGACGCATACTTGGGCTTTTGGTTGGGCGCAGGGTGTTCAGCTTTTTCTCCCTCAAGACGTGATCGCGGCTATGGTGCATGATCAGTCCTCTCACATGTACCTGACTGCATTCCTGCATTTTTCTGACTTGACCTTGGTGTGGCAGTTGCGGTCGACGAAATTTATGAACTTAGAATGTGTTTACTCTCTGTGAGTGGCGGCCAAGTGTTACAAAAAACGGATATGTTTTGGGTGGACATTAATCGAAGAAGGCTGGTCTTTAAGCCTGTGTGTACTGCATGAGCCAGGTTGCGTGTATAATCAAGATCGGTTTCGAAAATGTTACATTACCCGTTGTCTCGTGAACTACCAACGTGACTATCAACTACCAACACAGCGATAACGACAAATCGACCTGGCTGGGCATAGCAGCATGAACCAAGCGATTTATATGCGATACATTTGCGTGATCGAATATACACTGGTGTTTGCCGTGGTATCGAGATTTGACATTCACCTCCTCAAACGATAAGGAGTCGGACCCCTGGTCCGTGCTGGAGCGCGGACCAGGTGACCGGCCGAGTGAGAGACCGAGTGACCGGCGTATGCATCGATCCGTTCCAACCTTGCCCTTGCGATCTCTCGTGGGAGATCGAGGGAGAGACCGCCCCCCCCCCCCCCCCCCCCCCACCCACCAGGCGAAGTATTTGTCCCGTGATGCAGTCCGGCGAGGCCAGCTCGATCCCGGTTTCCCCTCGTTTTGTGCAGTTTTTTTCGCTATCGTTAAGTCATCCGCAAGTTACGTGTTCACGGTAATGGAAGCCAGACGCTGTGTTTGATTTATTTTTCCGGCGCCGTCAAACACGACGCCTGGTCATACAGGTTTCGCTCAAATGCCTAAAAGCCACAGAGTGTGGTTTTTAACTGAAACCTGTCGCTGAAAGCCGGCCAAATTCGTGGTAATGTTTGCACGGATATTAGCAGTCAGAAATGATGGCGTGTCCGGGGTGGAACGCTTAAATGAACGCACCAACTCTACCATACGAGTTGAAAATGTTTCAACTTCCTAGAAAAAACAATCCAACGTACGCGGTACCCTTGCTTGCAATGACACCTCCGATACTTGCATTCTGTGTGCGGAGTCCAGTTTGACGATCCAATTCAAGATGGTTTCGTAAACATGGCTGCAACGGAGGGCGCTAAGCCAGAGATGGTTTGTCATTTAAGCTCTCTCGGTGAGATCTTAAATTTGGAAATTTTTTGTCTTTTTATGTGCATTGCAACAGGCCGCTGAGCTTGTTGCCGGCCGTTTTGTGCAATGCAAAGATAAGTCTTTCAGGTTGCGTTTTACTGGTTGCGTGCCGACTATATTCTACGATGCCAGTTACAGTTTCGTTCTTCAAGCCGTTTTCATGAATCGGTTGTTGGTCGTTGTTGTTGGTTGTTGGTCTCAACCAAGTATCTTGGTGGAGACTCAGAGCCTCGAGCGCGGGGCGTCCAGCGAGGCCTCAGTCAAGGTCGCCCTCTCCCCTTGATCTGGTCTGGCTAGGCAGGGGTGCCCTACCCCCTGGCCTCGTCTGACTGGGCAGGGGTGCCCTACCCCCTGACCTCGTCTGGCTGGGCAGGGGCGCCCGACCCCTTCTTGACTTTGCCTGACTGGGCAGCAGCGGCATCTCTCGCTCCCTCCTAGATATCCACAGCTGCACCTCCATGGCTATAGTTTGCTTTACCCAATTTTCCGCTACCTATCGGGATGTACCCATACCTACCTGCTAGTCAATCGCAATCAGCTGTACCCGCCTGGTACACACCCGTTGGTATTTTTCCAGCAAATTAGTTTAAATTATGCAGGAGTTTCAGGAACGTCGGCATCCAACTTACCCTTCTGACCTGATAGCTTCAAACGTCATGTGAATGGAGGCAATTACGGCTAAAAGAAGCACAGCAGTAATGTTGAGTGCTATTTCTTGGAACATCCCCATGTCGCAAACATCTTACCCATCCCCGCAGCCATCCCCGTAGTTTTCCAAAAACCTGCACCCAGCCCAACTCTTAGCCCATTTCATATAGGTACGCGAGGGTACATCCGACCTGGGCAGTGTTCTGCTCGGGACATACGGCACACGAGTTGGTGAGGCTGTGGACAACACCCGGGTAGTGTCCTGCTGGGGACACAGGACATACGAGCCTGTGAGGCGGTGGACATCACCCAGGTGGTGCTCTGATGGGGACACAGGACACACGAGCCTGTGAGGCGGTGGACATCACCCAGGTGGTGCTCTGATGGGGACACAGGACACACGAGCCTGTGAGGCGGTGGACATCACCCGGGTGTTGCCCTACTGGGGACGCAGGACACACGAGCCTGTGAGACGGCGAACAACACCCGGGTGGTGCCCTACTGGGGACACAGGGCACACGACCCGGTGAGGTGGTGGACATCACCCGGGTGGTGCCCTACTGGGGACACAGGGAACACGAGCCGGTGAGGCGGTGAACGACACCCGGGTGGTGCCCTACTGGGGTCTAGAACACACGAGCCTGTGAGACGGCGAACAACACCCGGGTGGTGCCCTACTGGGGATACAGGACACACGAGCCTGTGAGACGGTGGACAACACCCGGGTGGTGCCCTACTGGGGATACAGGACACACGAGCCTGTGAGACGGTGGACAACACCCGGGTGGTGCCCTACTGGGGATACAGGACACACGAGCCTGTGAGACGGTGGACAACACCCGGGTGGTGCCCTACTGGGGATACAGGACACACGAGCCTGTGAGACGGTGGACAACACCCGGGTGGTGCCCTACTCGTGATACAGGACACACGAGCCTGTGGGGCGGTGGACAACACCCGGGTGGTGCCCTACTGGGGTCTAGAACACACGAGCCTGTGAGACGGCGAACAACACCCGGGTGGTGCCCTACTGGTGATACAGGACACACGAGCCTGTGGGGCGGTGGACAACACCCGGGTGGTGCCCTACTGGTGACACAGGACACACGAGCTTGTGAGACGGTGGACAACACCCGGGTGGTGCCCTACTGGTGACACAGGACACACGAGCTTGTGAGACGGTGGACAACACCCGGGTGGTGCCCTACTGGGGATATAGGACACACGAGCCTGTGGGGCGGTGGACAACACCCGGGTGGTGCCCTACTGGTGACACAGGACACACGAGCTTGTGAGACGGTGGACAACACCCGGGTGGTAACCCGAGACGGTCGCCTCTGCACTGGGTGGCGAGGACCGCATCGCCGGTTCTCTCAACAT